GGTGATGTCTCTGCTTTTTAAGATGCTGTCTAGGTTTGTCATCAGTTTCCTCCCAAGAAGCAGGTGTCTTTTAATTTCATGGCTGCTGTCACCATCTGCAGTGATTATGGAGCCCAAGAAAGTAAATCTGTCACTGCCTCTATATCTTCTCCTCCTATATGCCAGGAGTTGATGAGACCAGTGGCCATGATTGTAGTTTTTTTTGATGTTGAGCTTCAGAACATTTTTTACACTCTCTTATTTCTCTCTCATTAAGAGGTTCTTTAATTTCTCCTCACTTTCTGCCATCAGAGTGGTATCATCTTCATATCGAAGGTTGTTGATATTTCGTCTGGCAATCTTAATTCTGGCTTGGGATTCATCCAGTCCTGCCTTTCGCATGATGTATTCTGCATATAAGTTAAATAAGCAGGAAGACAATATACAGCCTTGTTGTACTCCTTTCCCAATTTTGAACCAAACATTGGTTCCATATGCAGTTCTAACTGTTGCTTCCTGTCCCACATATAGATTTCTCAGGATATAGATAAGGTGGTCAGGCGCTCCCATTTCTTTAAGGATTTCCCATAGTTTGCTGTGGCCCACACAGTCAAAGGATTTTGCATAGTCAGTGAAGCAGATGTTTTTCTGGAACTCTCTGGCTCTCTCCATAATCCAGTGCATGTTAGCAATTTGGTCTCTAGTTCCTCTGCCCCTTCGAAATCCTGCTTGTACTTCTGAGAGTTCCCGGTCCACATACTGCTGAAGCCTGCCTTGTAGGATTTTGAGCATAACCTTGCTAGCATGTGAAATGAGTGCAATTCTACGATAGTTGGAGCATTCTTTGGCACTTCCCTTCTTTGAGATTAGGATGCAGACTGATCTCTTCCAATCGTCTGGCCAGTGCAGAGTTTTCCAAACTTGCTGGCCTATTGAGTGTAGCACATTAACAGCATCATCTTTTAAGATTTTAAAAGGTTCAGCTGGAATGTCATCACCTCCATTGGCCTTGTTGTTAGCCATGCTTTCTAAGACCCACTTGACTTCACTCTCCAGGATGTCTGGCTCTGGGTCAGCAAGAACACTTTCTGGGTTGTCCAGGACATCCAATTCTTTCTGGTATAATTCCTCTGTGTATTCTTGCCACCTCTTCTTGACGTCTTCTGCTTCTGTGAGGTCCCTGCCATTTTTGTCCTTTATCATGTCCATCTTTGCACAAAATGTTCCTTTAATATCTCCAAATTTTTTAACAGATATCTGGTTTTTCCCTTTCTATAATTATCCTCTGTTTCTTTGCACTGTTCATTTAAGAAGGCCCTCTTGTCTAGCCTTGCTATTCTTTGGAAGTCTGCATTCTATTTTCTGTAACTTTCCCTTGCATTTTGTTTCCCTTCTCTTCTCTGCTGTTTGTAAGGCCTTGTTGGACAGCCACTTTGCTTTCTTGCATTTCCTTTTCTTTGGATGGTTTTTGTTGCTGCCTCCTGTACAATGTTATGAGCCTCCATCCACAGTTCCTCAGGCACTCTGTCCACTAAACCTAGTAGCTTAAATCTGTTCTTCATTTCCACTGTGTATTCATAAGGGATTTGGTTTAGATTATTATACCTGACTAGCCCAGTGGTTTTTCCTACTTTCTTTAGTTTAAGCTTGAGTTTTGCTATAAGAAGCTGATGATCTGAGCCACAATCAACTCCAGGTTTTGTTTTTGCTGACTGTATACAGCTTCTCCATCTTCGGCTGCAGAGAATATAATCAATCCGATTTTGGTACTGCCCATCTAGTGACCTCTTGTGTTGTTGGAAAAGAGTGTTTGTGATGACCAGCTTGTTCTCTTGACCATCACCCTTGGGACCAGATAACTAAATATATTCTTATATATTCTTCTCTTTTCACCCCATTTCAGATTTCAGAGCCTAGATATTTGTTTAACACACCAACTTCGCAGAACAGTTCACAAGAGGAGCAGTTAACAATAGAAGCAATGCAATGTGTTCTTCTTAAAACTGTATTACTTGAACTACCTTGTTTAGTTTGGAGAAATCCCTTCATGTTGTTCACGACATGCAACCTAACTGTACATCTTCCTGTTTCCAGATTAATATCTCTGAAAGTACTTAACAGTATTGTGCTGTTGGGAAAATCATGTCAATATGTTAAAGAAGCAAACATGGAAGAGAAATTATTCAACTCTCCTGCTATGAGCACTCCAGGCAAACCTCTGGGGAAACCACAAAGCAAGTACAAGTCCACTCAAGGTGAGTAGAATTTTTTTCTTCCATTTGGTTTATGACAAATGCATAAAATGCATATCCAGTGTGTTAATGAGCTGCAGAGGTTATGGAAGTCAAAAATAGTTTCCAGTATTAACCCAAGAGAGGATGCCTTTTTGTTTTACTTCATTTAAAATAGCTGATAACATTTGGTAGAACAGTTAAATGTCCTGAAGAGAGCAGAACAGACCTGCATTTTTTAAACATTCTTTACAAAGAACTTCGTAGAGGAGCTTGGGAAGAGTAGCTTTTTATTGTGGAATCAAGGCAAGAATTACCAAGGACCTGAAGAACATTTTACTCATACTGAGAAGTCTGATACTTTGCAAATAGCAGTAAAAAGAAGAAAAACCTGCAAGATCAGACTGGCATATGGGCATCATCCAGTCCAGTATTCTGTTTGCAACAGTGGCTAGCCGTAGGCTTCAGAACGCCAAGAAGGCAACAGCCCTCCCCTGGCAATGTTGAGAGAGACTGTTTTGCTATAATGCCCATTTAGTACAGAGGGAACAAATCTGTTCAAGATTCTCTTTAAAGCCTTTCTATAGTAGTGACCATCATCACATGTTATAGTATATTTTTTGTATTGTTTTTTGCATGAAAAAGTTAGATGACACCAAGTTTCCAGTATTAGGAAAGAAAAATCCTCTTATGGGAAGTGGTACAAATTGCTTCCTATGATGAACTGATCACATTCTAACTCACCACACAACTGGGACCTTTATATGGAATGCCTTGCCACAGGATGTGGTGATGGTATCTGGCGTAGATGCCTTTAACAAGGGATTGGACAGGTTCCTGGAGGAAAAGTCCATTGCAGGTTACAAGCCATGATGGGGATTTATAATTTCCAGGCTTAAAAGGAAGGTACTTCCAAATGCCAGCTTCAGAGGAGTGGTATCTAGTTATCTCGTGTTCGCCCAGAGGCATATGATGCAGCCACTGTGAGATACAGGAAGCTAAACTAGATGGGCCCTTGGCCTGATCCAGCAGGGCTCTTCTTATGTTCTTATGTTAAGTTTTTCATAGCTTTCCCAGCAACCTTTAGGATTGTAGAGTGACCTAATTGTTAATTTTTAACACATTGCTTCTGAATCAGACATAACTTCCACCAAAAATTACAAAAAGGTTTTTGAAGGCACTTTGTAGCAACCATTGAGACTAAGCTCTGAGATGAGACTGTGTCAACATTCCATTTAGGAATAAATGTAACTTAATTGTATTTGTGCCATGTATTTTGTGTAAGCACAGTAAATAAGATTCTACAAAGAAAATCAAATGATAGGAGTGCCCCAAACATAAAATTACAGCTATGAAAGTGAACCTCAGATCAGTACCAAATTTGGCATGGATGAGGCAGGTCTACTCTTGCTCTGTGCCACATTTGGTGGCATTTGGGCAAAGGGTTTTTGTGATTTTTTAAAAGTAACAGTTTTACCGCTATGCAGAATGAAGTGCCCATTTCATCAGCTAAAAGAAAAGAGATGAACAATGTAGATAAGACAAAATTTGCATGCATGAAAAGAAAAATCTCAGTTTTAATCTATTGTTCTTCATCCACACAAATTGAGGCAATCAGGGCTCTAACGCAGACCCTTTAATTGTCGTGTTTTAAGCCCTAAAACTGCTTTTGAATTGTGGTGTTGGAGGAGGCTCTTGAGAGTCCCCTGGACTGCAAGGAGAACAAACCTATCCATTCTAAAGGAAATCAACTCTGAGTGCTCACTGGAAGGACAGATCCTGAAGCTGAGGCTCCAGTACTTTGGCCATCTCATGAGAAGAGAAGACTCCCTGGAAAAGAACCCTGATGTTGGGAAACTGTGAAGGCAGGAGGAGAAGGGGACAACAGAGGATGAATGGTTGGACAGTGTCATTGAAGCGACCAACATGAATTTAACCCAACTCCGGGAGGCAGTGGAAGACAGGAGGGCCTGGAGTGCTCTGGTCCATGGGGTCACGAAGAGGCGGACACGACTAAACAATAAGCCCTAAAATATCTGAAATTGCTGCCTTTTTTAAATAGCTTCTGAGAATTCTGAAGGAACGCTTTGCATAGCATGGAATTCTGTCCAGTGAGAATGTGTCTGCCCACAGGGCAGGTGTCTATCACGTTTAACCTTGCCATGACCTTCATTGTGAAAGAAAGTATTTAACTATTTCATGGCCGCACATTCTTAGCCCCTGCCTGTGGAAATATTTTTAAGCTATTTTTTAAAAATAGGTAATAATATATAGCAGCTCACTCATTTCACTTGTGAAGTTAACTGTTTTTTCCCTTTGTTTGTGGGAAAAAACATGAGTAAATTTACCCACTTTACTCTTACAGTTACTGATCCACATGATTTCATATGATTTTTAGATTTAATCCACCCTAAACCAGTGTCAGATCATAGATCTTATTTGCACCCACAGACTACACCACAGAATTCATGGGTTTCCCAACTCATGACTTTGTAGTGGTACAAAAACATGCATCTGAAGAATGGCTCCTCATAGATCCACATAATTTTTACACAGGATAACCTTCGAACTACTCTCAAAACATAGGCCCCATCTGTGCCCACAGATTACACCACAAAAATGAGTCCTCAAGCGCTAGGCTTTACAGTAGTGCAAAAACATTAATATGATGCATGGGTCCCCATGAATCCACATGAATTAGATGTAGGATCATCTCCAAAACACTGTCCTATCATAGGTCCCATTCTCTGCCCACATGCTAAAACGCAGAAATCATGTGTCTTCCAGTTCATGACTTTTCAGTGGTACAAAAACATTGATCTGATGCATGGATCCTCATGGATCCACATGATTTTGATGTATGGTCATCTGCAAACCACCATCCAGACACAGGCCCCATTTTTAGACATAGATTACAACACAGAAATCATGGGTCCCTGGGTGCATGACTTTGCAATGGTGCAAAAACACTGATCCAAGACACAGAGAATGACGATAGCAATAACAGTAACAACCTTAGAACTGAACAACCTTAGAACTGAAGAGTTCATCAAGTCCAGTCCCTGACATGGAGGCTCCGTGGTGAATTGAACTCCCAACCTCTGGATCTTCCTCAAACCATTATCCAGCCATAGGGCACATCTGTGCCAACAGACTACACCAAAAAAAATCATGGGTCTCCAGTACATGGTTTTGCAGTGGTGCAAAACCTGATCTGATGCACAGACCCTCATGGAGCCACATGATTTTGATGTAGGATCATCCCAAAACCACTGTCCAGACATAGGCCCCATTTGTGATCATTACAACACAGAAATCATGGGTCTCTGAGCCCATGGCTTTGCAGTGGGTCGAAAACACCGATCTAAGGCACGGACAAGAACAGGAACAGCAGCAGCTACAACAATAACAATAACAACCTTAGAATGGCAGAGCTGGAGGGGACCCTATAGATCATCAAGTCTAGTCCCTGACAAGAAGGTACCATGGGGAATTTAACTCACAGGGAATTTAGCTTCACAGCCAGAGACCAAAACCACTGAGCTACTCACATGATTTTTGCACAGGAGCATCCCCAAGCCAATGTCCAATCATAGGACCCATCTGTGCCCACAGACTATAGAAATAATGGGTCCCCCATCTCATGGTTTTCAATGGTGGAAACACATAGATCTGATACACTGATCCTCATGGAACCATATGAATTTTAACTAGGATGATTCCCAAACCCCATTTGTGCTCATAGATTAAAGTACAGAAAACATGTCTCCAGGCACATTCTGATTGGTCAGAATGATATGCTGTGCAAATACCGTATTTTTCCAGTGACTTTCTTTGTTAAGTCCAACCTCTTCCTCTTTTTTTAAATTTTACAAAGCAAAGGGACATATTTTGGGAAACATGTATACAACATATCCATAGAGGTTTTGGTCCAATACAGATTTTATTTCTCACCTTTCCTAAGTCAAAGAAAGGGATGTGAACTTGGAACATAGCTTTCCAGTCTGCATTTGGCAGAGCAGGCAAAGGGTTTGTATTAGAGATTGACTTGAACCTCTGCTTGGAGGTCCGTGCTGCTTCATGGCGTGCCACAGGTGCTGTGTATTTGCTCCACCTGTCAAGGCCCCTACTCACCAGCAAGCCCACACTGCTTTTCTCCTCTTTGCACAATAATCAGATGTGCTGCAAGATGTGCTGCAAGAACCCCTGCCCCACCTCCTAATTTGAGTGGGCAACTACTGGAGGAGGCAGAGAAGGGATGGGGAAGCTGATGATATGGCACAAACCTCCAAACTGAGATTTCTGTCCATCTCTAGTGTGTGTGTGTTTCTCCACTGTATGTGTTGTACCTACACCAGAAGTCCCCCAGTGCCACTCCATTTCACAAAGTGACAACATGCAAGGGAAAATCCCTGAAGCTGATTTGTTTTTTCATCAGTTAACCACTTCTCACCAAAACACAAAGCAATTGTCAGGGCTGTTTTTCAACCAGTGTGAATGGTAGTGAACAGAAGAAGGTATTCTGTAGATGATTTTGACTGCTGCTATTGGTGTTGTCAACATTCAGGCTGCCCTTTGCTGTGGAAAGCTTTATTTATTTTATTTATTATTTACTTATTTATTCCATTTATACCCCACCTATCTGTTCGTCACGAACACTCTAGGCGGCTTCCAACATAATATATAACATAACATAACATATAACATATAAAACAAGCATATATATAACATAATTAACATAATTAGCAAAAAGAAAGAAATTTTTTTCTCCAAGATGGCAAGAGAACAAGGTAGGATATAACAAATAAGAGGGAAGAAAAATTAAGAATTAACTGGGAGTGGGGAGGCCTGCCTAAACATCCATGTTTTCAGTTGTTTCTTAAAACTACCCAGTGAGGGAGCCGCGCGACTCTCCGGAGGTAAGTTGTTCCAGAGGCGAGGAGCCACCGCCGAGAAGGCCCGGTTTCTTGTTTTTTCTTTCCGGGCCTCCCTCAGCATCAGGCTCTTCAGCCTCAACTCCTGGCTCGCACGTGTGACATGGGTAGAACTGGGTGGGAGTAAGGAATCGAGGTCGTAAACCGTTTAGGGCTTTAAATGTAAGCATCAAAACTTTGAAGTCAACGCGGAACCGAATGGGCAGCCAATGCAGGGCGGCCAGGATAGGAGAAATGTGATGGTGTTTTCTCACTCCGCTAAGGAGTCTGGCTGCCGCATTCTGCACCACTTGGAGTTTCCACGTTAGCCTCAAAGGTAGCCCCACGTAGAGCGCATTACAGTGGTATTCTTTTCCTGCCGGCAATGCAGGCACAATCTTTTCTAGCAGTATTGGGCTATTTCCTGGCTTTTTGAATCATGGGTACAAGAAGCACAGTATCCCACATTCATAAACTAGAGATTTTTTGAAGAATTGAATTAAACTACATTAGATTTTGCATCATCTAACATTACTTACATATACTTAGTTTTGGATGCATTGTATAAGTATTGCCATGTACATATTAAAAAGTAGGGCATATTCATATATTGGATGTGATTCACAGGCTAACTTTATTCACATTTCTAAGGATTTTTGTATAATGGTAATTTTGCAGATTAATCAACAGAGATTCTAATTTATATTCTGCAAACCTATTTTTCATGCTATAATGAGAAAGAAGGAAATAGAGCTGTTGTTGTAAATTGCTCACTAGTTGATGTTGCTATATTTTCCAAATAAGTGGAATGATGGCATCAGGTGCAATATTAATTCCAGTACCCCCACTTCTGGATTTTTCACAGACAGCACACTTCTGGATTTTTCACAGAAAGGACACTTTAAACATTTTTTCTTATATTATTAATAGAGATGGGGGTATTCATATTCATATACAAATACCAATATCCCTGCCCAGCTGGACTTAATGAGGGTCCAGCCTCTGGACTTAACAAGAGTCTGCTGGCAGCATCAGCCTCACTTATCCTTCCAATCATTCACAGAGCCCCTTTCTCTTCAGCAGCCATGCAGGGAGAGTCATCCTCCTTTTCCCTGCCTGGAGTGACTAGCTGAACGAAAAGAGTGGTACTCCAGGAGTGATTGGAAGGCTGAGTGAGTCTTCTGCTGCTGGACGCGTGAGTAGATGGTCCAGCCCCAGGGGCTGGATCCTCGTTAAGTCCAGCTGCATTGGGATATTCTTATATGAATACCCCCCTCTCTAACTATATTAGAGTGCAGTAATGTTATTGTGAACAGAGCAAATCAGCATTCTACAAAGAAAATTAAAAATGGCATCTACTTGAAACTGGAGTTTGGATCAGTACCAAATATGCGCAGATGTAGCAGACAGTCTTCTGTGACTCTTTGCCGGATTTGAGGAATTTTGGACAAAGAGTTAAGGTTTTTTTTAAAAAAAAAAAAAGTAAAACTTTTTAACCCCTATGCAGAAACAAGTGACCTTAAATGCCCCCAAATTTAAAACAGATCAAATAAATTGAAAACACTTGGCTTGCTTGTTTTGAAAGAGAATGGTTGGCCCCACCCATAACATTCACAGAGTGACACCAAGGAAGGGAAAATCCCAAAAGTTGACTCCTTTTTTTCATCAGTTAATTAACTTCTCACCCAAACACAAAGCTATTGTCAGGACTGCCTTTGACGTGTGAATGGTAGGCAGCACTAGAGGGTATCCTGTAGACCAGCTATTCTTAATGGGTGCTGGCACATTTGAAGAAGGCATTTTCTGAAGATTTTCTTAAGAATTGAATATATATCCTGTGCTTGTTTGAAAGGGCCCCAGGACCTTATGGAGTCTACATTCACTTCGTTTCAGCAGCGTTGAAGTTCAGATGTGTTTAGTACATTAATTGTGCACCCAGTATTGTTTCTTATTAGTACAATTGTTGAAATCAATATCATATTGGGGATTAAAGCATATTTACTGCAACCAATAATCAACTGGTAACAAAGTACTATAATTCCTGATACAGATTTCTGGTTTTATTTATTTAAGCACTTTTGCCAAGAAATTAAAAAATACAGTGGTGCCTCGCTTAGCAAGTGCACCGTATAGCGATGTTTCCGTATAGCGATCCCTTTTTCGGGATTGCTATACAGAAACATACCCGATCTTCGCAATGGGGAAAACCCGCATTGCGAAGATCGGGTATTGCAGCGGCCATTTTGGAGCCGCCGAACAGCTGATCGGCGGTTCCAAAATGGCCGCCGGAAGCCCGGAAATGGCTGCCAGCAGCCGTTTTCGCGCCCTGCCCTCGCTTAGCGAGGGCGCGAAAATGGCTGCCGGCAGGGGGAATCCTCGCTGAACGGGTAAGTAAGCAAGGTATTGGAACGCATTAAACTAAGTTTAATGCGTTTCAATACGTTTCCCCTACCCGTTTAACGATGATTCCGTATAGCGAGGGTTAATCCGGAACGGTTTAACCTCGCTATGCGGGGCACCACTGTATATATTAATGATTTTATTTTTTTTTATTTCTTGGCAAAAGTGCTTAAATAGAAATCTGTATCAAGAATCTGTAATAAGAATTATAGTGAATTCTTGAATTTTAAGAATTCTTTAAATCTTCATCTTTATAACTTATGTGAGTATGCTTCCATAGGAAAATGCAACATAATTTATATATTCCTGTGAATGGGCTGGTAGAAGAAGGACTGAGCAGTCATTCTTCCTCTGTCCCCAGTACCGAAACCAAGCAGATTCCTGAGGAAGTTAAGACCCTTCTCTTTTTTCCTTTCAGCCATTTCTCAGCCATTTTCTGTGTGCTTACATAGAAAGGAGGAATAATATCTAGTAAATTTTGTTAGAAATGAGACAAATAAAAATGTGGGGAAAGTCTGCAGGAAAATTTTCTAACCTAATGTAAAAGATAGCAAAAAGCACTTACAAAGTAGCAGCTTTAGGAAGTAGATATGATGTGGCTAGGATTGCTGATACCTAAAACATACGCATTACAGACCTTGAACATGTTTTAAATTGCAAGCTGTGTAGTACAAGGACAATTCACATTTTTGCAATAAATTACACATCCATAATAAATGTCTTTTTAAAAATCTTTTAATTCTTGATTTCTGTTTTCCATGCAGGAATATCTATAGATGAAAACTTGTCTTCTTCGGTGATCAGTCAGCCTTCACATCAGAAAGAAAATGCAGTACCACAACTTGTGACAAGCAATTCTGATCAGTTTCTGACAACCCCTGATGGAGATGAGAAAGATATAACCCAGGACAATTCAAATACAAAACATAGGTCTTCAAAAAAAGATCTGTTGGAGATAGACAGGTTTACAATCTGTGGAAACAGAATTGACTAGAATTTTGTAAATAGGTGTGCTTAAGATACTGAACTATTTGGACAGTGAGTGCTATAAAGATGGACAGATGCCAAATAGGTGCTTCAATATTTATTTTAAAACTTAAATTATTAATGGCCAACCTATTAAAGAAAAGAACTTGTCTTGATAAGTTGGTCACATTTCAGATCCTTGATGTTTTGGAAAATGTGATGTTTTGAGGGAGATCTATAGCTTGAAAAATCTGCTGCATCACTTTCTGGAAAATAACATGTGACATTGATTTAAATCCATTTTTGCTCTTATCAGTCAGTGATTCCTGAACATATCTCTTATCAAATTCCCTTCATTAGAAGGGTAACTTTGGAAATGTATTTCATATTTAATAGGAAGCAGCTACGAAAAGGTTTAAAATTCTTCATCTGCCAAATGTCATTTTCAAACTTTGAGTAGAATTAATGATCCAGATATTCTTGTCACTAGGAGATTGTTCAATATATATTTCATCTAATCTAAATAAATGATAGTTAAATTAACAACTTATTGCATAACATTTGTCTAAACCAGAATCATCTTCATCATTGACCAGAAATTGATCACAATGTCAGGATAATGAAATGTGCTTGTTGACTGAGGAAGAATAACTTTTTTCTTTCTGTTCAATTTGCTTTGTATTCTAAATGTGAAAATGTTTAGTTTTCCAGTGTAAAAGTGTACATTCTTGCAGAAAGAAGGACAATACCAACTTGTGAGATTGCACTTCGTACTTAACAGATACTTAAGGTGTAGCTGTGAACCCTTGCAAGAAGTAGACAGAAAAAGTTATTTGCATTGTCAGTCTGCTAAAAAATGGTGTTTAAAAACTTGGGTACAGGAATTGAGAGAGCTTGCAATAAATGTTGGATTTTAAACAGTAAGTTTATAAAGTATAATATGTGTACTCTTAGTTCTGTGAATAGAATAATATACTTTCGGGAAGTGCTTAGCTTTTGGGGTATAACACACTTTTACTTGAGTGCATAAGACTTGGGAAACTGGGAGAGGAAGTACAAGAAATGTTGTAACAGGAATCATTGATGCTCAGTGCAGTGAGGCAGCATGCTTCACTCCAGATGCTATCTTGCCATCTATCAACAGCACCTAGTGAACTTTGGTGAAATATTTAATGTCTGCTTTAAACATGATTTTATTATGAATAAGGTTAGCATGTGTTTGGTAGTTCATTGTAGAATGACCAAGCAAAATGTCAGAAGTAAAAAGGAGCCATGTGGTCAATACAAAATAAAATTAAAAAAAAAATCATCATACAACCTGCAAGCTTTCATGGATCAGGACTATCTACTTCATCAAGGATGGACCAGTGTGAAGAACTTAAAAGTCCAAAAATATTGCCCATAACTTCTGAACTTTAAGTTCTTCACAATGACAAAGTGAATGGTCCTGATCCACAAAAGCTTACAGGTGGTATACATTTTTTATTCATCTATAAAGGTATTGCCTGCTCTTGCATTTAAATTCAGGAGTGACGTTGAAAGTTTATTCCTCCAAAGCCACAGAAACTGTTATTAAGATAAAAATCAGCATATATAAATGATATCCTGATAAACAGGCCTTAAAGAATAAAATGTGACTAAACTCTCCACACCTAAAAAAAAAAAACAATGTGATGATCTCTGATCAAAAGGGCATTTCTCCCATTTCTCACAATTTATAAGTTCTCTTCAGCTAAAAGTAGCCAATGTTATAGAATTAGGATTTTAAAGGCTATGCTCAAAATCAGCAAAAATGATTATTTCATCTGTATGTTCATTTTTGCAAATTTTATTCATTAATACTTAATTCATAATATTGTAAATCCATTGTAATATAATTTTTTATTTAATTGTTGCTCCAAAGAAAACTTGGAATGATTTTTCCCTATAAAATGATATTCTGTATGAATTTTATGAGTGCATCCTGTGTGACACAATAAAAATTCAATTTTCTAACCTTTGTTTTTTTAATAATAGTAGTACTTTTCTTGCCACAGTAAAACCAAGTATTTCTATGTGGAACCCATTGCTCAAACACTAGCCTCCAAAACACATTCTACAAAAGTTTTCCTATGTACCAGGGATGTTGGCAAATCTTTCGGCCAGAGTCCCAACTTCAAGTCTAAGTCTTGGGACCCAATTCCCAAGTCTTGAGTCATTTGACACACACACACCGGGGGGGCACATGCATTGAGACAGTGGATCCGGAAGGAAAGCTAGACCGGCACATGAGTAGAGACAATGAACTGACTTCCCTTCCTAGGGCCAAGTTCTGCCTCTGCTCATGCGCCAGGAAGACAGCAGTCAGCTCCTGGAAGAGAAGCCAGGCCCTGCTGTCTCTGAAGATGGTGGAAACAGTGGTGGCAGGTATGGAGGCCCATAGGTACTTGATAATGCAACTTGGACAAATGAGTCAGAGTCATGAATCATGAGTCCCCCCAGAGCCCCCAAATCGAGTCTGGTGCAACTTAAGTCGAGCTCAATGAGTTGTAACTCACAAGTCCCCATCCCTGCCATGTACACATGGAAAGAGGGGTGATATTTATTTTTAACACGAGTTCCTTATATTTGGTATAGAGTTCCTGTTCTGCCCACTACCCTTCACAAAGTGACACCAAACAAGGGAAAAATCTGAATAATTTGAGTTAGAAGAGGCCTATAAGGCCATTGAGTCTAACCCCCTGCTCAGTGCAGAAATCTAAATCGAGCTATATCTGACAGATTGTCTAACTTTCTCTACAATACCTCCAGTGTTGGAACACTCACCACCTTCTAACAATTGGTTTCATTGTTGTAACAAGTTCCTGGAAGCCAGATTTTGGTTGAGTATCAGGAAAAACCTCTTAACTGCTCTGGCTTCCAGGAACTTGAGCCCATTATTATTCAAGAACAGATCTCACCCCTCCTCTGTATGACAATCTTTCAAGCTTTAGAAAAGTGCTATCGTATTTTCCCTCAGTCTTCCTTTCTCAAGGCTAAACATGCCCATTTTTTTTCAATGTTTCCTAATAGGGCTTGGTTTCCAGCCACGATAATCCTTGCTGCTCTCTGAACTTGTTCCAGTTTCTTGGTATCTCTTTCAAATGCTGTGTTTAGAACTGGACACAGTACTGTAAATGAGGACTGACCTGTGACAGATAAGAGGGGAACTAGTACTTCACCTGATTTGGAGACTGCTTCTCTTAATGCAGCCTGAAATAACATTGACCTCTTGCAGCCACATTGCACTATTGACTTATACAGTATTCAACTTGTGATCTTTCTCATTCAGTATTACTGAGTGGAGTGTCTCCCATTTTGCAACTGTGCATTAGGTTTCTTTTCCTTAGGTGTAGAAATTTGCAATTATTCTTATTAAATTTCATTCTGTTGTTTCGAGCCCAGTGCTCAAGCTTTTAAATTTTGTTTTGGTCTTCCAGAATATTACAAAGTTGGCACTTTCTGGAAAGTTGGGGAAAGTCAGGGAAATGGAAATTGGTCAGGGAAAGTCAGAAAAATTGTGATTAAAATATATTCAAGTAGTGGATTTTTGACCTGCTGCTGCAAGAGCATGATCTGTTCTTGTGGCAACTGGAATACAGAAGTAGCAGAAAACAAGTAAAACTTAATGATGCCCTTTCCCAGTTCCAGCTTATTCTCAGCTCCATCCCCGGCAACCAGCCTAACGTATTAGTTGAGCTCTGTCCCTGCATGATTTCCAAGGTCTGCCTGTAGCATTTGCACAGCAAGGCTAGTTTAAACGTTTAGCAAGATACAAACTTTAAACATCTAATCATTTTCATCCTTACCTGCTAATCCTGCATTTAACTTACATATAAAGATAAGCATGTTTTGGGGTCATGCTTGTGTATGGAATGGATGTTTTGTCTCCTGCTAAAACCAGCACAGAGTTGCAAACAAGTTTTGCTGCTGTTGGATTTCACAGTCAACTAGCACTTTCTACTCTGCACCATGCAAAGTAAATTTTTCCAAGGTGATTGCTTGTTCCTGGTGAAGTTTACAGAATACCAGCTCTCTCACCCTCTTCCTTGACTTCTTCCATGCATAAAGGTTGCAATTGAGGGTTGTCTGCATCTCTAGATTGCAGAAATGATCTGCAAGCATTGAAACTCCACCTGCTTTCTTGCTGCTGATCTGCTCATTACACTTCCTGGAACCATAAAGTGACACTTTCCCATCTTTGGAAAGTTCCTACTTGCCCGAAAACAAATCTAACATCTTGGTGTCAGGCACGTGGTTCTGAGTATGGCTGTATCTGAAACCATATTTTGAAGATGGCTTCTAAGAGCACAGTTGTTAATATGCAATGACTGGATTTCAAAATTCATCCTGACTTCATTCCAGGGCTATCACCAGTTGCTGGAGACAAATGCAAAGGTCATTGTAAAGTGTGCTACAAAACATTTAAACTAAGTAATATGGGAATTAGAGCTGTGGAGTCTCATGCACATGGACATCAGAAGTTCCTGAAAATTAAATCAAGCCAATAGTCGATCGCAATTTGTTTTGGTCCAAAGCCAAGTACAAGTTCATATAGTAAAACAAGGGAGGGTGAAGAGACAACCACTGCGAAAAGTGGAAAACATGATCAGAGTGATGAAAATGGCAAAGAATTACCCACCACACAAACTAGTATGGCTGCCTATGTACAGTGGTGCCTCGCATTGCGACGTTAAAAATCGCTGCAGAACGAAAACATTGCAATATGATATTTAAAAGCCCATAGAAACGCATTAAAACCTGATTAATGTGTTCCTATGAGCTTAAAACTCAGCGTTCAGCGAAGATCCTCCATAGCACGGCCATTTTCGCTGCCTCTTAAGCGAGGAATCCATCCCAGAAAACAGCAGGTGGCCATTTTGTTTAACCGGCGGCCATTTTGAAACCGCCAGTCAGCTATTAAAAAATCGTCGCTTTGCGATGCTCGGTTCCTGAAGCAGGGAACCGATCATTGCAAAGCAAAAAAAAAAAATACATAGGAAACATCGCAAAGCGATTTCATCGCTAAACGGAGCGATCGCTATGGGAGGCACCACTGTAATTAAGGACTGTTTTAAGACAGCAGAGTACCTGTGGGCTTTGCAACTGGTGATGAAGAAGATGTCATTGAACTCTTGTAATAACATCAGTGAGTTATTCAAGTGAATGTTCTCAGAAAGCCAGATAGCTCAACAGTTTCATCTGGAAGAACAAAAGCAATGTATGTTGTTGCTTTTGGCTTGGTACAACATTTCTCTGATCTTTTACTGAAACAGCTGAAACAATGCCAAACATTTGTTATCTGTTTTGATGAAGCTTTGAATAAGGTGGTTCAAAAGGGACAGATGGATCTAGTGGTTTGTTTTTGGGTTGATTACTATCATAAAGTTTCCACATGGTATGTAACCAGTGTTTCTTCTTAATGGTCTCTGTGAATGCACACAAATGGGTTATTCTGCACCTGCACAAGAACTCTCGGAGGTTTTTAGAGCTTAAAGACATGATTAGTGGGATGTTCCCCTATGGAGTGCATGCTCCGCCTGCCTGAAGTTCTCTCAGTTCCTTTTAGCTGCCACTTAGCTCAGACCTATCTTGATGACTAGAGCAACTTTTGATAACAATTGCTATTTCTTCTCTGTGCCTTCTCAGGCTTTTTCACTTCTTTATTTGACATTCCCTATGAGGTTTTTTTTGTCTTCAAATTTTCTCCCTGTTTCTACTTTCATTCTCCCCCTTATTTCCCCCCCTTTCCTATCTTCCCTCTCCTTTTATGCCCCCCCCGGCCCATTTAAGTGGTGTGTGTTGTGCACGAGCAAGATCCTGCTTTCAGACAGCCACAGCCGCTGTCTTTTTTGCCTAGGAGAGCAACATCAAATCCATTTCTGCCCAGAGTGTAAAAAAATCACCAAACCGTCTCCAAAGTCTCCGCTCATTTCTCTGGGTGAAATCTCTTAATCCACCCACCACTTCGATGAAACCTGTCCCTAGACAAGATGTGCTTTGGCCCGTGTTGAACCAGACCAGTCCTTCTAATCCAAGGGAGCAGTCTAAATCCTCATTGAAATTGGCATCGGCATCGAAGGCATCCCCGACACAGTCTCAGGGCCAGTCACCTAAGAAGAAAAAGGACATGAGTGGATTGAAAAAGACTAAGAAAACATCTAAGTCTACTCAACTTACTCAACCTCAGCCAAACCTTCCTGCATCAGTTTTGGAAGGGAGGTTCCCAACTCATTGTCGGAGGCAGAAGATCCACTCCTGCTACCTCCTGGCCAGGCTCCAGCTTCAGTGGTGATCCTGTCACCTAGTATTGGCCCTTCAACAGCTGATGTTCTCTCCAGCATGGCCTTGACCCATTCTAGCCCTGCATCTTCAGGGCGGGCAGTTATGGTTCAGTTTTCCAACTCAGAGTCTTCTCTGCACCGGTCTCCTCCTCGCAAACATACATCAGAGGTGTCATCTCTCATCCAATTTCCAGGATCCTCCACATCGGGAGTTTTACTTCCCCAAAGTACCTTCTTGATACTGTTCTCATGCAGACTATCAAGATCCTTATTATGCTGAGTATGGCCAATACTGGCATCGCAGAGATGATATCAACCCACATACTGGACATTATTATGATGATGAACCAAAGAGAGTGTGATATGCATTCTTTTATCCACCTGAGCCTTCTCCATCTCCATCACCATCTCCAGCCTGACATCGACATCGGGCTCATACATCCAAACTTCAGTCCTCTCTTCCAGCTCCTTTATATACCAAATCAGTTCACAAGCGTACTTCTTCACACCCAACAGAGCAACCTACCTCCAAACACCTCTGTACATCTTTGGTACTGGTTTCTACTTCTCACTTGCACCTCCATACCTTGTCTCTTCAAGTCACTACCACCTACAAGGGACCTCCCCCTCCTCCGCCTGACACCGACATAGGGTTGTCGA